GGCACCCTGGCCATCAGGGAAGGGACGCTGGGCAGTCAGGCAGCTCTGCTCCTGGTCCTAGTTCTGCCACTCACTCGGGTGGTGCGTGGGGTGGCACAACATTCTTGAGCCTCATTGGCCTCAACTGTACTAAAAGAATGGTGGGATTCAGAGATTGCTATGTTCCCCAATTTAAAATGCTGTTATGCTCAGAAACAGACCCACTGAGTGGGCTTCTCTTCACGTTTCAGAGTTCTGTCCACAGTTCTAGTCAACTGTGGACAGAAAAGGAGGCTGCGTTTACCTGAGTATCCTCCCAAGGCTACACATACACACACACACACACGCGCACAGGCACCGTTAAGAAAATAATAATACTGGATCTCCAACAACTGTAAGAGTAAAAGCAAACAAAGGCAGAAAGATGAAGTGAGCAGTGACGCCTGTCTAGGAAACCATCTAACAGACTGAATTTTAATATATTAGACAACCAGCTACCAAGAACTTATGTTTGAAGGCCAACTGCTAGGGTGGCAGGGAGGGAAAGTATGTGTATTTTTCTGTAAAGTAGTGGGTGGTCTTCTTAAAGTGGGTTTCTTCATGTATATACATTAAATGAAGTCATTCTAGTTTTCTTCTTAATTTAGAATTTCAGAGGGGATTGTCTATAGTACTTAATAGACAAGTTCACTGGGCCAGCAGGTGGTGTAGTGGTTAAGGCACTGGACTCCCACTTGGCCGACTGCAGTTCCAGTCCCAGACCAAGTGCCTTGAAACTCATGCCTAAAATCCAGAGAGGAGAATGGAAGAGAAGGGGTTGAGGCAGCATGGCCATCCATCCTCCCTGGGGAGGGGGCGTTATTTCTCACTTTCTGTCTCTATGTCTCTCTAGCAAGTGCATGTGCCCTATAGTAAAATCCCTCCAAAAAAAAAAAAAAGAGAGAGAGAGAGAAGTTCACTTTTTTACTCACTCTCTGTCTTAAAATATCTCTAGGAATAAATAGGAAATTTTTTGTTCATTTTTTCTATTTAAACAGTACTCTAATGAAAATATAGTGAAAAGGAAGAAATTAATTCTCTAGCAATCTTCGTGGATGACACCCTGACTCTTGCTTAAATGTCTTTCCATATATTCTGTTGTTATTTTCTGAGTACACTGTGAAGCAGTACATGTATCACTCAATCTTATTATGTCTGTTTCCGCTCTGTGTGACTCAATTCCAATTTCTACCTTTGAACTAGCTCTCCAGGCAGGCTCATCTTTGAAAGTATCTAAGGCAGCTCACAGGCCTATACACCGTGCAGTCTTACTTCCCTGACACAATGGTGTCTAGGTGCCTTGTTGCCTTTGCTAGTACAGCTGCTTTTACTCCTCAGAGAAAGGTGACAATAAGAAGTATCATTATTATCCCCATCCTCTAGATGGAGAAAGTGAGATGAGAGGTTAAGTGATGTCTAGTCCACACAGTGAGACCTGACAGAGCCAAGGCCCCCAAATGAGGTCTTTTGACAGTAAAAGCAAGATTGCATTTTCGGTTTTCTAAGCCATTTCTCCTACCAAAGCCAAAGCCAAGGCTCATGTTGAGGGAGGGCAGGGCATAGGGTAATAAGCCACCATGGCTGTGGCAGTGGGCAAATTCAGATGTTTGACAGTTTCCTTGAAGACCACAGTTACTGCCCCGTAAGTCCATTTTCATCACCAAAATAAGGAGCTAAGATTCCTAGAGTTTGGATTATCTTTGAATGAGTCAAAGAAGAGAGGAAGAGAAGAAAACACAGTCATCATTTCTCTGGCCCTTAGGATCGGAGTGCCAGCTTCCTTCTAGTATTTTAGTGTGTGGACTCACTTGAAGCCATGTGGCTTGTTCAAAAAAGACATGACTTAATGGAAAGGAATTTAACAGGAGCCTGGTTTAAATGAGGCATGAAGGAGTCTCTCTTCCTTTTTGAAGGTGCCACATGTGACTAGATTAAAATTCACTTACTCTGTGGCAATAGTATTCTGGAAACGTTTAATGATCTAGAAATTTGAGGCATTTGGTACAATGTATTTCTATTTTTTAATAACATTTTTAAAGAAGAGGACTATAATCGAGTATTTCATAAGTAATACAGTTTAATAAATTCCCTTCAGCAAAATGTACATTAAGAAGAAGTTCTTAACTAAAGAGAATCTATTATGGGGAGCGTAGTAGTGGGGGCTTTTATTTTGTTCTCAGTTCTTGGCAGATCTCTTCCCCATGCGTATTGCTCTCTACATGTATAACACAGTTCAGTCTAGCTTCACTCGAAGCCAAAACATTGGAGGGTTGGTCTGTTCTAATCAAGCCTCCATTGCTCATGCCCCCGGTGACTGGCACACATGCCTGTCATCTTGGCCAGCCTGTCGACTATGAGTCAGTGCCTTCCTAACTCGAGAGCCACACTTTCCCAGGATGGTTCTCATGGGAAACGTAGTGATCATTCTACCCTTCTACTTTATAAACAGCCTACAATGTGACACAACTTTATCCAGTCTAAAATAGTACATCCCTGGTGAGGTACAAAGCTTTCCATATGCTTTTAGGGGAAAGTGTTGGTATATTACAAGATACAAATATTCAGAAATGCTAAATCTGAAATGCTGTTCAGCAATTTCCTTAGTATTTCAGAGACTTCTGCATTGAAAATACTATGAAGAACACATCTCTGGGAAATTGCATTAGAGAACCTGAAATAGAATAACATCGTCACCATCAGCAAGGAATAAGGTCCATAAAGTGTTGTATCTATTTCCGAAATAAGACAGTAACTGACTCAGGGATAAATGACTGACATGGACAAAGTAGCTACATGAAAGAGGTGAGTAATAAATTCAAATAAAGGATGTTTTCCCATTTAGAAAACGGAAATATTTAAGTTGTAAATATGGTCTTGATGACAATCCATTACTGTCTGTAAACACTGGTTAGCACAATGGTTCACATGGCATTTATTACATACCTAAATTCCAATATAGAAAAACAGGTGTGCCATGCTTCCTGGTTTCCTTGGATTATTATAAAGTAAAATTGGCAAAACTCTGAAGAAAACGTTTAACCCAGATAACTCTACTTTCAGTCAAAACATAATTCTTCTGTTTTGAAGAAAAATCACTCTTCAGGGAGTTTTGAGGAAAGAAGATGAAATTTCCAAGAACTATCAAGGAACAGAGAGGATAAACAACGATGGAAATTTCTTTTCTAGCACCAGAAGCAGCAGCGTGCCCATGCTAAGGCTAGACTCTGAAGCGAGGATTCTGTTTGAGAAGAAAAGTTTTGTGGTACATGGAAGCGACGGGTTAGGGTGTTTGAGTTAAGATGACTCACAAGAAGTCCCTTCCAACCCAAATGACTCAGTTGAAAGTTATGCTTTTCATTAAGTGGAACAGACCCAGTCTGGCTCCCAAGCAAATCAGCCAATGATGTTAGGTTTCTGAATCTGCTGGGGTTCCCTCTAACTTTAAGCACAGAGGTGGCCACCTGCCCAAGGCCATGTTCATCTGCAGAAGAAAACTCATAGGCCTTAACTTCTTGTTTCCAATTTGATCACATTCTAGACCCCTTAGTTAAACTTCTGGGCAAAAACAAAAGATTCACCATGTATTCTTGCCCTCTTTTATATGGCTTAGGAAGTGTCATTGTTATAGTAGTACCCTTTTCCTTAAAAGTTAGCTCCCTCATTTAAAAAAAAAATCTATATTTCTTAAGCACTTTCTAATGCTTGGTGTGAAAACTGGGGAGTTGTATGATTTGATTATATGCTAAAACTTCTTTAAAGAAACCAACCTTATTTAAGTGTAATAGTAGAAGAATGTTTTGTCTAGCTCACAAAATTTACTTTACTTGGCAGCAATGCAAAAAAAAATGTTTTTTTTTAAAACTCCATTTGCTGTAATAATTTGATGAAACATCTTCATCTACTGACGATTTCAGCTTTTCATGAAAAACCAAGGTTGTCATGTGATGATCTATTAGACCTTAACTATGAGAATGTTTTGTGGTAGTTTTATAACCATCTGCTGAGTGTGAGTGTTTAACTACAATATTATATTTCACCCACAAACAAAACTATAACAGAGTCTCTGGCTGCTAAATGGTTTCTGATGTGTATTTTGCAAGGTGCAACAAAGAAAGAGTTAAAAATAGTTCTTTAAGACAACTTAAGCACTATTTTTATACCATAATTGTGGATTTAATCATGGTTCATTTACTATTTCTCAAAAGGGAAAACAGATATTTCTTAAGCAACTTTGAAGGTAAAATTGGCTCTGTTCCAAGACAGTATTTCTTTAGCCAAATAAATACAGTATTTAAACGTACATTTAAAAATTCAGTCTTTACCTGTATTATATATAAGTTTTAAATCATTGAATTTAGTCTCAAGTGAGCAAAAAATCTGAAGATAATTTTCAGCAATATCTTGGCAAAATGTTGACCTGAGGAATACAATACAGCTTTATCTTCCATATAATGTTCTACACAATCTGCCTTAGGAGATTCATAATAGATTTTCATTTTGGTGCCAAGGTTCAGGCACGCCTAAAGTAATTTCATTTAAGGATTTTCTTCTCTAGTAATAATAATAAACCAAAGGTACATATAAAACAGTTGCGTTTTTGTACACCCCCGGGAATTTACAAGAAAGCACCATGAACCTGATTGTAAATATTAGATATTGCTACTTGTTAGTTTACACTCTCCTGGTTCTTTTTCCAGTGTTAAAGGCCTCTTACTTCTCAAACTTTGTAGTTTTTCCCATCCTGAACACTGATCAGCAACTGAAAGATCACCCAAAGATGGTATTATACACATTAGATGAACTGCTAGGTCCAATAGATTCTTAAGATAGTGCTACTCTATTACGTCCGAATTCTCAGTCTTACACACAGTGATATTTCCCTGTTTTACTTGATGCTGATTATTTCTAAGTCAACGTTACCCTTAAAAGAATCACAAAACGACAATGGCAAAATAGATGTTATCGGTCTATTGAAGAATGCAGACATATGACGCCAAATTAAAGAGCTGTTAGTAACTCCAAGAAAAATAAAGTATCCCCAATTAAATTTCATCTTACAATCAAGTACTCTAGCATCCCAAACTGTATGAATACTAACCTTGGAGTCGTGCTAAGGCAAAGTTGCTACTATTTTATTATATAATATGCCTTCATTATGTAATATTGTCCCCTTTATGTGCTTAAAATTATGTCATTCATAATAAAATCAGATGATAAGGTGTTTGCTTTTCACACACAAACTGCCATCCACGTCCAATACGTATAGTATACAAGCGTACAGACAAGTCCCTGAATCCTCAACTTCCTCCGAGTTTCAAAACCTTCCCGGGTCCTGAAAGTAACCCTTTCTTTTACTGTGAGCAGATCTTTCCCTGTAAAAACAAAAACAAACCACTCCCACTTATGGAAATACACATACAATGGGTCTCCCGCCTGTCCCTTGAAGTTCAACCAAGTTCGCCCGCCGGGTTTGAGGTCCGGGCTCAGCCCGTGCAGGTAGCTGGATGACCCCTGTCTCCAACCCGGGCGAGGAGCGTCGGTGACCGCTGCGAGCCCTCGGCAGCGCCCCAGCCTGGCAGCCTTTCCCGCTGGCCTCCCTAACCCGGCGCCTGGGGGAGCACGGGGCACTTACAGCCGGCGGCCGAGCCCCTCCACCGAGCGCCCGCAGGAGGGCACCGAGTAGCTCAGCAAGAACACCGCGACGCTTTTGAACCAGCCTCCGCAGCATCGTCTCTGCTCGCTCTCCGGACCTGCAAGAGACTGGGAGAGGATCCGAAGGGTCAGTTCACACCCTCCATCTCCCCGCACCGCCCCACTCTCCTTCAGCCTGCTCTGAACTAGCCTCTTCAACTTCAAGGGCATCTCCCAAGTTGTAAAGGAAAAAAAAAAAGAGAAAAAAAAAACTTTTTCTGGAGCCTCTCAGCACTTACTTCAGAACCAGCAACTCCAGCTGTGCTTTTTCCAAACCACACAGGCAAAAAGAACCAAAAAGGGGGAAAAAAAAGAAAAGAAAAACCAACAAACACACACACAAACCCAAACTCAGAGTTACTTCCTCTGAAATAATAGCGAAAATGGTTTTATATATGCATCAATGATGGGTAGTGTATTTACACGTCTCCCATAGCAATATCTAATTAATCTGGCTAGCAGTCTTCCTAGGCTCGTGGAGCAAGGCTCACCCCCTTTTCCAAAGAAGAAATTTTCCCCCCTGAAGTCAGCTTCTTTGCGAACCAGGCCCTCTCCTTCCAGAGCCACTTGTAGCGAGACCCACGTTTATATACATAGCTGTCTGTCTACCTCCTCTGGTGGGCTGGTTGCTTCCGGAAAGTTGATTCCACACACCCTGAGAACAAGTTTCAAGTGCGTGCGCTGTCGATCAGGAGGGCCAGGTGGCAGCGAGGGCGGGTTAATAGCGGCGCGGAGGGGCGGCGGCAGCCCCACTTCACTGGCGGGGAGACATGCTGGCCGGACAGCGCAGGTTGGAGGCGAGTTGAAAGCCGAGCAGAGGAATGTTCACACGCTCCGACGCAAACCTGCCGGAGAAGTGAGCGAGTCGCAAAGAGGTGGCGCCCTAGGAACGCGCGCGGGGCGAGCAAGGGCGCGGGCGGGCGGACGGGAGGGCGGG